AGTGGAAATCTATACATGCTATTGTACCCTTCCTAAAATTGAGCTTCTCTATCATGTCACACCTCAACTTTCTCAGCTTATATGGCGAAAAAAAAACTTTTCAATTCTCTGTTCGTAACAAAGCTGCTCATATTTGTTAAAACATGAGTGAATCTACTCTACAATGTTTCTTTGCTGTTGTATACTATTATATTTCCGTGCTGTTACTGTCTCTTCATTACTCATTGCCTTATCCCATTCATCCATTACCTGTCAGTAACTCATTCACTCAATGTGCCAGTCTATCTCAGTCACAATGTCAATGAGCTGTTCACTCACTGTGAAAGTATCACAATTCATTGTGCCTGTCCCCAGTCAATGAATGTGTCAGTATCACAATCAATCATTATATCGGTTTCCTGTTCAGTCACGGTATTGGTGTCCTGCTTAATCACTATATTAAAATTTCTCTGTCAATCTCTGTATTACTCATTGTGTCACTGACTATCTCGCAGACTGTGTCACTGACCTTTCACTGCATCAAAGGCTTGTCTCAGTCACAGTGTCAATGTCCTGTGTCAGTGTCACATTCATCTACTATGTTGGTGTTCCTCTCGCTCACTGCATCAGTTTTCACTGTCAGTGTCCCACTTACTGTAAGGTGCAAATAAATCTGTGACCCTGTGGTGAAGTACGACTGACGCAAATTTCCTTTGAAGCAGTAATATTGAATAAAAGATTAGCAAGGTTATACATATTCAAAATTGTACATTTCATTACATCAAATTAATGCTTATGACAGGTTAGTAAAGTTCACTGCAACTTGTTGATCGGATCATATACCGTGGTTTTGATGTAGGAATCGGCTAGTTAATGAGATCCATGTTGATTGTAGTATATCCCTCTTTGGTTGCGGTTAGCTGCTCTGTACCCAAAACTCAGCTCTTCTCCAAACTCGGTTCTTCCTCTGATTCTCTTGCCGAATCGATCTCTTTTTATCCAGTTGGAAGATGACCCTGCGCACTCCTTCTTGTGCACTTGACAGTCTGTATTTAGGATATCTGGGCATTATGTCTTCAGAGCTTTGGCAAGGAACAATGTTCCATTTAACAGTTCTTTTTTTATAGCAGCAGTTCCCAAAAGAGGCTCATATGTTCATATAATATAGACATAAATTACAGATTCCTTACATTACTTGCCATGTCAGTTACCAATAGCAATCGTTTCTTATGCAGTATGAGCTGAAAAGTCATAGGGTTGCCTCTGACTGACTTAATGGACGGGGGCCAGACTCATTTTAGTTATTCATATGAATTGAAAATGATAGTTCCTTTAGGTTGATGGACCTAAGTACATCTCACCCATATGTTAAATTCCTGTTACGATATTTTGGAGTCTTGTAGCTTAGTTGTTACAGCACCCGCCTCGCAAGCGAGAGGACGTGTGTTTGATTCCTGGCAGAGCAAAATGTTGGGCAAGTTTCCTTACTCCACATACCTCTGTTTTCTTAGCAGTAAGTAGGAACCCGGAGAGAAACAGGAAGGAAAGTCTGAAGAATCAAGAACTGTGACATTTTGAAACTGCACATTAGGATTAGTTAGAGTTGGGGTTCTGGAGACTGATAAATTTTGAGAATAAATTCTGTTTTCTTTTGTTTTACTCATAAGCCTAGGGATCCAGGTAGTATTTCAATTATTTATTTCGTACCATTAAAAATTTATAAATTAAAAAACTTACCGTCTGAGAGTTTATCAACATCTTGTCTTCTAAAGAAGAGGCTTTGAGATACTTTCTTCAGTTTCTATTATGCTATTCAAGGTCAACAACAACAACAACAAGATTACATTTGTATAGCGCCTTTCACGTCGGGAGGACGTCCCAAGGCGCTGGACAGTGTGTACAGCATTTCAGACCCGAGCTGGGGTCAGTGGGGGAAGGGAGGGGAGGGGAAGGGGGGGTGACCGATGGTGTGGTCGAGGAGGAGGGTCTTGAGGCGGAACTTGAAGGAGGCTAAGGAGGGGGCGAGGCGGAGTGACTGGGGGATGGAATTCCAGAGGTTGGGGGCAGAGTGGCTGAAGGCTCTTCCGCCAATGGTGGGGAGGGTGGGTCGGGGGACGTGGAGCAGGGCAGAGCCGGCTGAGCCGAGGGAACTGGCACGTTGGTAGGGGGTTAGGAGGTCGCAGAGGTAGGGTAGGGCGAGACCATGGAGTGCTTTGATTGTGAGGACCAGGATCTTGAACTGGATCCTCTGAAGGATAGGGAGCCAGGAGAGTCGGGAGAGAATGGGTGAGATGGGGTCACAGAGTTTGGTGCGGGAGAGGACACGGGCTGCAGAGTTCTGGATTATCTGCAGCCTGTGGAGGGAGGAGTTGGGAAGGCCGACAAGCAGAGCGTTTGCATAGTCGAGCCTGGAGGTGATGAAGGCATGAACAAGAGTTTCAGTGGCCTGAGGGGTGAGGTAGTGGGGGAGTCGGACGATGTTACGGAGGTGAGGGAAGGCAGAGCGGGTCATGGCTTGAAATGTGGGGGAGAAAAGACAGTTGAGGGTTGAACAAGACACCTCGGTTCCTGACTGGCTGGTGAGTTGTAGTGTGCAACCATGTAGGTTGATGTTGCCAGAGGCTGCATTATTGTTCACACCTGTCAAAATAGGCTCACAATAGGGATTTGTCAGAAGCTGATGTTTCAATGTGATTGAAAGCAGATAGTTGACATTCAGTGACCAGGCATTTCAGGGTAATTAATAAAATGAAATCAAACACAAAGATTATGACAATTAGTGTCAAAGTGGTAGGAATTATTAATAATCTCTTCAGCGTTAAAATGTATATTATCTATGCTGAACATACCTGCCAGAGTAAAATCTAAAGTAAGTCGGCAGAATCAGTTCACTGCAGAGCACTGGAGAAAGCAGCTCAGACAGCATAAAGTTGCCATGAAGTACAAACAATGACAGTGGATTACCCTCGGAAAAGGGATCCGCCAATCGACAACTGGGTTCCTACTTACTGCTAGGTAAACAGAGGCATGTGGAGTAAGGATCTTGCCCAAAGTTTTGCCCTGCCGGGAATCGAACACAGATCTCTTGCATAAGTAGTGCATAAGACATTCATGTCAAGAGTCACAATAGTAAAGATAAAATAATAGGATGAATAGGATGTCTGAAGGACAGAGTGTAGCATGTTAATCAATGGGTCTTGTTCAGACCGACAGGATGTGGACATGGTCAAAATAAATGTATGGGTCCAGATTTGCTGATGACAGTAAATTGGGTGGATTGGCATATTGTGTAAATGATTGTGTACGACCTCAGGAGGACATTGTACACTGCATTGTTGGAGATGCCTACATGAAGGCACTATACAATTGTGAGTTCTTGCTATTCCATGTGTCATCATTTTAGCACAAATCTCTTATGTGGCATCTTATCAAACACCTTCTTAAATTCAAATATTAGTACTTTTGCATTTATTTCATTTTGCTTGACACTAAAACTCCGACTAGGCAGACTAATGGGGGGGGGGGGGGGGGGAGTGGGGAGAACCGGTCCAGCAATCTGGAATTTCCAGCTAAGTGTAATTACAATATTGGTAACTGATATTCACCAGTATTTTCAGTGCCGAAAAGATGCCAGTAAATGCTATTGGCCAGCACTGTAATTGTTTGAATCCAAATTGAGTGAGAGGTGACGCCACGAGCCACTGAGTGCCAGCAAGAACGGTGAGGTGGGAGTCTACATGCTTACATGTTTCCGCTTCGGGCCCAGTCTAGCCACGAATTGCAGATACCCAGAGTCTGGTAAACTGTATTACACACTTTTTTCTGTGAAAATAAATGGGATGTGAAAATAAATAAATCAAAGCTTTAATGTAATGGAATAGATAACGGAAAACATAGTCTTTAGTGGTTATAGAGCTGTAAACCAATAGTTGTGCCCACTGTACTGTAGTTCGCTCGCTTTTTCTCCCTTTCTTATACCATAGAATGACATTTGCCACTTTCCAGTCCTCTAGGACAACCCCCATTTCTACAGAAAATATACAGTCAATTCAATTTACAGCATATCCTGTGAAGCGTTTTGAGATGTCTCAAACACGTGATAAGGCGCTATATCGAATGCAAGGATTATTATTGTTACTGCTGGACAATGATAGTCAGAGTGTCCATTGTTTTGTCAATAACATCCCTGAGGATCCATCTGATACCTCGATAATTATTTGCTTTAGACCCCATTAATCCTTTTCTCACCATCTCCTTTTAATCTCGACATGCCCTATCTGTTTCTCTGTATTCTGATATTGCTACATCACTAATGTGTAAATACTGAGGCAAACTAGTTAATATCTCCGATATTATGAATGGTGAATGCTCAGTTATAATAATAATAATCCTTGAATTTGATACAGCGCCTTATCATGTCTTTGAGGTTTCTCAAAACGCTTCACAGAATTTACTGGAAGTGAATTTTACAGATTATCTTCTTCATCCTACTGCGGATTATCCTGATACTCCTTCCTTGAGTATCCTCTTACCATTAATGTGCCTTAGAGAGAGAGAGAGAGAGAGATACTGAGGCGAGACAGATACCACTGAGCAAAGACCACAATGAGAGAGATACATTGAGAAACAAAAACACAAAGAGGTTAATAAGGAGAGATACCACTGAAAGAGATACACTGAAAGGAAAAGAAAAATACTGGGACAGAGAGAGAGAGAGAGAGAAGAGGGGCGATGCCCTGAGAGAAAGAGAGGCTGACAACAGAAAGATTTTCAGAGAGAGAGCGAGAGAAACATCACTATTCCCACGAAAGGAATCTCACAGTGTCTGTCTGAGACTGATGTAATGGAGCTGTGAGAGAGAGAGAGAGGAGAATCCCCAGCGTCTGTGTACAGAGGCGGAGCACTGTGTTCTCACAGCACGGTCTGTGATCACTTGCTGCAGGCAATTCCACTTGACACCTGGGTGCAGTTGTGGTGCTGTTTGTGAACACACACGCACACGCAAGCTTCAGCTTGTGAAGAGAGAGGGACGCTGCTAAACAGAGCTGTAGATGATGGGGGCTGTGGTGGGAACACTCTCTGTACAGACGAGGCAACAGAGTCTACACAAAGGTAGGGTTAGAGCAACGTACGCAGAATGCCTTGAGCATATTAAGCATGTCCAGTGATACAAAACTGCCATTCTTCATGTTGAGTATGTGCTACTTAAGCATGACTGATAGTTGCAGCCAGAAAGGGTTGAAAATCATGCTACACTGTACTGTGGAGAGTATTTACTGTGGAGAGTAACAATACTGTGGAGAGTACCTGCAATGTGGAGATCAGTTTAATATGGGGAGTGTGATTAGGGCAGAGGTTTGGATGATAGAACTTCGAAGATTGCAAATTTAATATCTTAAGACTGATGTGAATAGCTGTTGAAAGATTTAGTATTTGAGCTGGAGAAAGATGTGGGCAACAAAAACTCCAGGGCTTTCAAATTACAGCAAAGTAAGGAACCTACAGAAGAATCTTTCTTTAGAAAGGGAGCAAGTGCCTAGATGGTAGAGCTCCTCGAGGTGCAATCACAGGTCGTGCCACTGAAATGTCCACTCAACTGGAGAAAGAGCGTGAAAAAATACAATACTGTACAAAATTACATTGTATAGCGCCTTTCATGTCAGGAGGATGTCCCAAGGCACTGAAGAATAATTTCGCTGTAGGACAAGCTCAAAGTTAAAGATGCAATGTTGAAAAGCTGAATCTTCAGGTAACCCAATAGGACCTATCTCAGGAGTTGATTGCAGACTACAAACTGAATTCAACTGGGCACAGCCGTTCAAGGAGTTGCTAGAATGGAGGGCCAATGAATGTTTGCATTGAGTTTAACAATAATAATAATCCTTTCATTTGCTAATATCCATAGACTATCCAAACCAAGCTGAGATTTCCATGCATCCCACCTACACATGGAAATCCCAGAGATAGATTGTTGGAATGGAGTGTACACTCTCTCCCTGGAGGGACACATCCTGCTTACCTAATTCCAGGAAGTATTAGGCGCAGGTTGGCAAGAGCCAGGCTTGGGGATCCCAGAGTATGCTTTGGGGTAATTGCTGGAGTCTAACCAGCTAAAATGGCATAGCTTGCCATTGATGTCACTGTCTGGCAAGCATTCCCGCTGTTTGTCCATCTAGGACCACCTACCCATTAGGGCTTTGACTTGCAGGGTTAACAGGAGCTGAGTGAGATGGTTCCCTGTCTCTAGAGACTGGTTTGCCCTTCCAGGTTCTACGATGAGTGTGGTTGGCTGTATTGTCTTCAGCAGTGCCCTGGAATACTGTGGACCTGCCTGGCTCAGGAATTAGACTACCAAGACCGCCACAGAGGGCTGACTCAATTCCGATATTCCATTGCCAGACATGTCACCTTGGAGCCAGTTCAACCCCAAGGAGACCTCGCTTACCTCCCACCCCACGGATTTGAGCCACCTTTAGTTGGATGGTAGGAACCAGGAACTCCTGTGAGCTTCTTGGAGTGCAACACAGCTCAGCATGAAATGCGTGAGAGCATTGCCACTATCTTCCTGTCTGCAGCTCGGGCATATGTCCCTTTCCATTGAGCAATGATTCCATCAGTTGGAGGTGCGGAATTTAAGCAGCAGCTGCTTGCCTCCCTGCAGGCCAATCAAGATGGATTCCACGTGCTGGACATAGGAACATGTGTTCACAAACTCAGACTCCAGGTAATACCTTCCAGCAACTGCTCAATCCAAGACCTCATCCGAGAGGTCTTGGCAAATAGACGAGCCTGCTATGAAGCCACCTCCAGAGTGCTTAGCGACAGATCAATGTAGGCCAGAGCCCTCCCTCCCTGCCAGTGTTTGCCACAAATCCACCTCGTTGCTTGATTCTGGAATTTGCAAACAAGTCGGAGGAAGCCTCTCCACTGCATCTCCAGGAACTCAGATCCATAAAGGAGGAATGTTTGTACACAGGTCTTGTATGCCACAAGCTTGACCTGCATTGGGACCTTGCTTTCCTTGAAGAGGGATGAGCATGACCAGAGAGCCCTTCGCCCTTTCTCAGAGCGGCCCTTTAGGACAGTGTCCAGACAAAGGTTGGTGTCCACCAAGACCCCGAGATGGATTTGTGGCAAACACGGGCAGGTACTGATAAGAGTCAACAATTTGGACTGATCCTCCGTTGTATCTTCCAATCAATTTCCTTGATGTCTTCCTTGGGCGGTTCAGAACCCTGATTCCGCACTTGGGGGTACCTACCGCCATGCCCCCTGGTTGGCCCAGTGTTCAAGATGGCGGGCGCAGGGCAGAAGGTCCCCAGGTGAGTCCATCAGCAGCACAATATCACTATAATTGGCCCAGGCTCAACAGAGTCCTTACTTCCGATACTTGAGACTTTCAGTCTGAAACAGGAGACCTTGAGATTTTTCACCTACTGCTTATAAAGCTTATAAACTTATGAACTTTGATATTTGTCATTACAGTCACATTGCTATATGTGTGATCATAACAGTCAATATTGTTGGTAGTAACTTGCCTATTGTAACAAAGTTTATTGAACTAATGCAACTTTCCTGCCTTATTAAGTAAACAAGCTTCGAATATAAATACAAGTGACTTTGGTTCCTCTGTTCACAGTTTCTTATATATAGATTCTGGCAAATAGAATAAGCTGGTTATTAATTCCACAAGTAATAGAACTTTCAAACCCGACAATATCAATGCCAAAGTGTTTACAAATTGCCCAGTGAATATATTTAACTACATTATAATGTCTGATCAGATGCTCAGATACTAGAGTTGGGTATAATGATAATATGTGATCTCGTGTTTCTACTGCTTGGTGACATATTCAGCATTTTGTATCAAATTTCTCTCTGTAAGATGTTATTTCCATAATATCAGCATTAATAGATAATAATAATAAAAAGTGATATTATTATTCCTTAAATCAATGTGGTCCTACAGTCGGCCCGTGGGCCGCAACTGGCCCAGTGGGTGATTTAATCCGGCTTGAGAACATTTGCAACATTTCGACTTCTGAACTCCTTTCTCCTTAGTGAACGTCCTCTCACGGCAGCGGCAGGAGCCAGTGGTTGGGGGGACATTTGCCAGGGAAGGAGGGTTGAGAAGTATTCTCAATACTGCAATTGTATTGATTACAGGTAGCAACAAGATGAACAAAAATATATATTTTAGCTGGGAATGATGTAAGTGGAGTATTAAAGACGAGAATGTTCCAGAAACCAATTTAATCCTCCTCTCCTGCTCACTCCCCACACTCAATATTCCTCCTCTTCAAGAATCTATTTAATTCAACTTGAAAATAGTTTATAGACTGCATTAAGAACTTTGCAGTCCAACCAAACCCCCACATTTTCCCCTTCAGTGCTTTTTGTGATTTTTAAGTGAGAAATCATGAAGAAATATTAGTCTGTGGATAAGCTCCAGTCTCATGTTGGAGTCTAATGGAACAGGCTGTTAAAAGTATTTGTATGAAGAAACAGAGCAGTCACATAAATTCCTCAAAGGAATGAATGAGGAAATGCAAACCATACCGAAAAATCGCTGCAATTAAATTGTTAGTACCAGAGAACTGGCTGGAGAATAGCACATGTAATATTCTAAATTGAGACGTTAAATGGGAAATTTTACATCAGGTCAACAGCAGTGGTATGACAAAACGTATTAAGATTTCCAGAAGTGACAAAAACAACTTGCTTTTATATAGCGTCTTTCACGTGGGACAGTGTCCCGGAGCGCTTAAAAGTAAAGCAGTAAAAGTGAAGAACAGTTAGGAGGAGTGAAGTGTGCCGATCACAGCCGGTATTTTGCTTCGGGCCATTTCTTGGCCCAGGCACAAAAAGTCCACCAAAAGGTTCGGAAGCATGCAGGATTTTTCAAGGTTCAGGATTGTGTTCAGTTAGTGAATTTGCTAATAAATCTCGCAATGTCAGATGGAGTCATTGCAGTATCTTCTCATTTGTGAAGGCAACATGTTCAAACCCAATATAATTTTAAAACCAACAGTATCACACAACAGTATCAAGGTAAGGGATTCTCTGAGGGTGTAAGTAAATTACTGTCATATAAAGGGTGATCCAGTAGATGTAATTTATTTCAATTCATAGAAATCGTTTGAGTAAGTTCCACATCGTAGGCTTTTATAAATCAAGGGTGGCATAATTGATGGGCAAATTAACTTGTTTTTTTAAAAGAACTTCGAGAAGCTGACTAAAAAATGAAGACTAAATATACTTTATCTAAAATTCTTCACACTTTTAGTTTTAAGACAAGGATTGTGAGGCTAAGACCTTAAAAGGTTGATAAAGTATCAGTCTGGCTGAGTTAGTAGCACTTTTGCCTCTGAGTCAGAAGATATGGGTTCACGCCCCACAATAGGACTTTGATCTCGTAGTTATACAGAGCGATACAGCATATAAACAGGCTATTTGGCCCAACTTGTTGGAATGTAATTCCCTTCTCTCTCATATATGCATCACGTTTTTTCTTAATGAAATTGATCCTTTTTGCTTCAATCACAGCTTGCTGTAACGTGAACTCTTTATCACATTCACTATTGGTATTCGCTACTCCCTCCTCATTTCATGCCATGGGATCTTTAACGTCCACCTGAACCGACAGATAGGACCTCGGTTTAATGTTTCATCCGAAGGATGGCACCTCTGACAACTCAGTATACCCACAACACTTCATTGGAGTAGAGTACCAACATGGGATTTGAACCACAACCTTCTGACTCAGAGGCAAGAGTGCAACCAATGCACCAGGCTGACACACATAAATATAGATGATGATAATGTATCTTCCATAGGTAATGTAAAATTATTTGAAAAGCCATTCCACCTTCAGTGGTGATTCACCCGATGCTGAAGTTAGCTGGATACCTGCCTATCAATCTGTCTGAAATAGCATTAGTTTTAGTTTTCTAATCACAACTCAATGCTTCCTGTGGTCTGCCCTTCAGCCTGCCCTGGTCACTATATTTTCTGCAATGGCACATGATGCGTAGTTAACATGTTAACATATTCAGTCATCATAGAGTGATATCAACAACAACAACAATAAAATTAGAGTTGTAAAGCGCCTT